GGGTGGGAGGGAGGGGGGAGGTTTGTTTGTGAATGTACTTTCTATCAGCGTAGCTCTGGGCTGGCACTGGATTCATATTTCTATTATTCCAGATCCAATCGGCATTATTATAAGCAACGTACGATTTTGTTAAGGTGAAGGCTACCTGGTGTAAAAGTCCTATTAAATTTTTTTTCTAGTGTGTTCCTGGAGCACAGTGGTTTCAGTGATCAATTTCTAAAGAAAATAAAATGGATGATCCCTACTATGTGCTGATTTCATTTTATTGTACCATGGACTATGTCTTTAGAATGGTTGAGCCACCTCTATTTGTATGACTTGAAAATGTTTTTACACTTGACAGAAGACACATGAGGTTTTTAAATCAACTAGAATAAATGCCTGAAAGAACTTTTATGTATATTTTTATTAGCATCTGCTGCTGAAGTGCCAGTTTGCTACAGTTAAGGAACCCAAACTTGTTGCTGAGGTGGCATGTTTTTTAGTGGGTGCAGAGAACCCGATCTGTAATCCATGAGTATACACTCTCCTTTGCTGTGAGCACTAAATGTAAGCACAAATCAATAGCCTCATCTCTGAAGGTTCTTCAGTGTAAATTAGGATGCAGGTTTCAATTAGTATAGCTGTAATGATTCAAACAGTTTCCCCCACCCCCAAACATCTGGCCTTTCTCTAGTCTGAGTGTCATTTGAGGGGGCAGAACGGCAGAGGGGGAGGAGATTTTCTCACATTCTTGGGAAAACCTCTCAATCAATATTTTAAAAAAGTCAAGAGCCACTTTCTTTACACACAAGTGAATAACCCCAAGAGACTCGGGCCTACAAAATTGCTAAACTTTTCCTACACTAAGTAGCTCGTAGAGACCAAGTTGTATTCTAGTTCCATTTTGTTACCAAATTGCTTACAATTCTTGCAGATTCAGTGAAAAGAACATGTTGAGCAGATATCAGGAAGGGCAGACTTTAAAGACAGCAAGTCCTAATTCTAATTCTCTAGCCATAATAATTTATGTAGCCATTGTAATGTCTGGGATTCTACTGAGTTAATTGACACTATTTCTTAATGAACTGGTGTGGAAGAAATTGGAATCCACACAAAAAAAGTTTGTATGAAACTAAATACATGCATAATTGTTGTCTGTGATGCTGAATAATCTGAGAGTGCAATTTAAAGATGATGGGGACACATAGTTAAGACCTCATTTGATATGCAGAACTTCTGTAATTGGTGGGCAAAAATAATCCTTAAGCATGTCAAGCTGTGTTTGTGATAGGTTTTCTAGTCATGGGGGAAATATTTTTATTTACAGAGAGAGGCATGTCGAAATTTTGAAAACATCCTTATTTATTGATTTTCAGAGTAATGTATTATTTACAAAAATCAGAGGCATATTTTTTTTAAACATCTTCTGTTAACTTTTGATGCTTGTGACAGCAGTAGTATTCGCACTGTGCTTGACAGCCTCGTGCTGAGGCTTATCTTAAAGCAGGCAAGGATGGAGCTAATTCAGGGTTTCTTCTCACTGCCCTCTCTTCTGGTTACATCTACACCAGGTAACACTGAAGGAGTTGGATTGCTCCCACTCTCTTATGCTACAAGGGATTTTTGGGATTGTTCAGGAGGCATAAACTTGCCTTTTGTGGAGTGAAGAAAAGGAGGGTATTTATTAAAGAAGGGAGGTCCTGGTTTAGCTGACTTTCACGCTTACCCAAAAACAACAGGGGTAAGAAGATACAAGAGGCTCAAAAAGAAACTCCGAATTTTATGACAGTGACCAGAAGTGGATAAGTAGTGAGGCAATTCTATTGAGAGTTGAAACCAAACTTCTTGCCTAGGTTTCCATTTCAGATGGCAGGATCCACTGCTTCAGGGGTGTTTGGGGAGTTGGAGACTGAGGTTGGAGTCTAACCGGAGAGTAAAACTGTGCTGTGCCCCTTTCTCTCTTCTCTCTGCTGCAAACTGAAGTGTCGGTCTCAGAAGAAGCCTTTTTCCAGAAACATAGTCAGAGCCTTCCAATACCAAGCAAAAGCTGGAGTATCCTTTTGGTATTTGATTTTGTTTAATAGCTTTTTTATCAGATACCAAAAAGTTTGTATCAGGTTTGATAGATCACCTCTGAACTAGAGTGGTTCTGAACACTCGGGTTGCCCTATTCTCTTTTAATATTTTTTTACTGTTAGAACTAGGGAGCCCTTAAGGTAGCAAGGCCTTTGGAGAGGAAAAGGCAACAGCAGTTTGGATTGCCTTTCTTTGAGCCTGTTTTTTTAATCTGAAAAAGGTAGCAAGCAGAAAATCAGAAGGTATGGAAGGATCACATTAACTCCGCTTTAGATGCTTCCACAGTGTGCATGTGCATTATTGTTCTGTGTATTTCTTAATATACTGCTGGTTTCAGGTTGTTGGGGATTTGTTGGTTGTTTTTTTTTCTTCCAGAAGAATAAATACCTTGTAAACTGGGGCTTAGCAAGAATTCCAGAAGTTGCAGCAGTGCTTTATGCATTAATCCCAGTCTCAGCATTGAATTGCTATTACTTTTCAATGTAGTTCCACTTAACCACTGCCCACTTCCTTAGAAAATTCCACACCTATTAAACTAGAGTGAGAAGACAAGGAGTAGAAAGTCAGTGAAATACTGAAGCGTAATCTCTCTCACTGTTTCATGGAAATCTGTAACATTCAGTGAAGGCATCCAAATCTTTCCTCAGGCCCTTCTCACAGAAAATTCAAATTCTTAATTTGATTTTTATTCATTAGCTCTCTGTTGCTCCTCTATTTACCCCTCCTTGTTGTAGCTGCAAAGGGGATAATTAAAATTGTACAGCAAAATAAAATTTTCCAGGAGCAGGATGCAGCTGAATAGGCAGGATGCTTCGTCTCCTCTGACAGCCTATTTAGAACGTGTTGAGCTTTGAATTTCAGTCATAAAAGCAGTGAGTATTCGAGCTGCCTTTGTCCCTTTAGGATATTAAAATCAGTTTAATATTTCAGCAAACTTGGAGAACCTCGTTGAGGAAGAGGCAAAATTAAAAGCAAATTTTCAGTAAGCATTTGAGGCTCTAATGTAGAAAATGTTATGAGATGGCAGCTTTACCCAGAGAGATCCCTGAAACCTAGAAAAAGGCAAAATTCTAGTCCTGGAGATGAATAATGCACTAAAAAATGAATCCTCAGTCAGCCTACAGTAAACTTTACTGATAATCCTAAGGACTTTTAAGAGACTCTTGCAAGTCCTTGCTTTTTTCCAGACTGCCACAGATATCTCTAACGAGCTTGTTCTGGCCTCTGGATGTAAATCTGTGTGGAGCTGAGTCAGGAATATAGCAGGGAGAGCTTGGTGTATGCCGACAGGAGGAGGAGAAGGGGGTTCTGCAGGACACTGAAGAAACAAAGGCTGTAGCTTTATAAACACCTTAAGCTGGCTCTGCTGCTGGAGAGGCAGCCTGTCCCGGCCACCCACTCTTAGCTGCTCATCCCTGCTCCCACACCAGTCCTTTCCTTCCTTTTTCCTTGATTTTTCGTCTTTTTCTTTATTATTTTTGATAAAGAGGTGGGTTTGGACCTACATGGGGTCAGTGGGCAGCAGCCTGGGCACCTGTATCAGCCTGTGGATGGGCCTGTGGAGCCATGGGGGTAAACGGGTGGGATGTGGGGAGAAGGAGGTGAGGAAGGAGAAATGAGCTGCTGGTCCTGACTTAAAGCTTTTGCCAAACTGTGGTCTAAAGGCCTTTGCCTTTTCACTGACGTTAAGTCTCGGAAAGATGCCACAAAAATCAAAATGTGACTTCTTTGTTGTTATCCCCGGCCTTGGCTCTGCGTGGAAATGCGTGAAAGTGTTTGCAGATGCCTCCACAAAAGGGTAACTACTTTTCCTGAGCCTAATCTCTCCAGGCTCTCTGCAGGGCCAGAGGAAAGACGGGATCCTCTTGAGGGCAAGTCTCAGAACAAACCTAATTTAGCCTGGCAGATTAGATTGGCTGGGCTAAAGTTAGCCTTCACCAGCACCTTCTCCACCACCACCATCTTGTACTGAACCAGTGCTGACATCAGGCAGCCTCTTTCCTCACAATACAGCAGATGTTTGGGTGAATTTTCCCTTCCTAATTTTTGGTGGGTTTTGTGGGGTTTTTTTCTAATTTAATGGAGACTGTACCATCGAACTCGAACAGACTGTTCGGATATAAATCTGCCCAGCATGGAAGTGAATGAGAAATGCAGGAACCAGATTGCTTTTGTGTGTGTGTAGCTGAGAAAACTACCAAAACAAGCAGGAAATAAGCACTGGAAAGATAAAGGGAAGAGAAAAAGGAGATATTTAGGTCATTTTAAAGAATAGCTATTGGAGAAAGTGTGTCTGGTATATGAGCACCTTTACTTTATAGCTGTTATGGAGAGTTGCAAGTTATCACCATGCTTCTTCCATTTAATAGGTGAGCAACGTTGTAAAAACGTCCAAAGAATGAATTTAGAATAAACATCTGGTGTACACAATAGGAAGTCACTACACATTTTTTGAGAGCAGCAACTTCAGTCATACATGTAATACAAAAGCATTTTTTGAAACCATTTGGGGCATATATTAATTAAAAGCCCTTTTTACTATATTTGGACACAAATACTACAAAAAGCAAAGTAAGCTCTGAGTTCAGAACAATGTGTCTGCACGAACA